CTTCTAAGCCTTTTTATTAGTAACCCCAATTACAGAGAATTCACCATCTATAAATAGATTTATCTGTGATGAATCTATAATATATGTATTTATAATCTAACTATACTGCATCTACAAAAATGCATGTAAAATGAGACAAAAATAAAATTATAAATTCAAATAACTGATTTGATTTTATTTGGTAAAGTATTATGAAGAGGCTTATATATGAGTTCTAGTGTGGAAAGATGGCATCATATTGACAAATTGAACACTAAACTTGGAGAATAATAACTGACCGTTGTGGCGATTGCTTTAAATCCCAGAGTCAGGCAGATCTCTGAATTTAATCCCAGCCTGGTCTAAAGATTGAGTGCCAGGACATCCAGGGATGTACATAGAGACACCCTGTCTCTAATACCAAATTAAAACAAACAAACAAAAATAATAGATAAACATAATCCAAGAGGTAACTGAAGGAAAATGCTCAGTGATGGCATAGGAAGACAATCTGTTGTACAGCCTTTCTCAAATCTCATTGGGTGATAAGTGTGAGAAGTACAGCTGAGTGACCTCCAGCCACAGCAGCATCTATAAGGAAGCCTCTCTGAAGTTGCCTCCATCCCTATAAAGGTAAAGAAATAGAGTCACTAGGCAAAGGGCTAGGATTACAGATCACCTATAAGTTTGACAACTGAGAAGCTATTTGTTGTGGAAAGGCTATGAGCATCAACCTCTTTTGCTGACCCCCATGTCTCCCTTGTGCATCATTACCAAGTGTGGCACTGGTGCTTGATTATCTTAGATATCAGGTTAATACCTGCCCAGCATCATATGAATCAGTTTGTAATTGTCTCCAAACACTCAAGTGAATGAATTTTACATAAAAACCTAGGTTTAGTTTAGAATCTGGTTAAAAATTCTTGTCAAAGCATTCCTGCCATAGAACATTGTTTCTATTAAGTAAGTTAATTTAAATTTATAACCAGATACTGATATATGCATAGAGATAGATCAAGATAGAGTGGTATAACATTTAATAAAGACAAAATGTTTCTAATGTGCCATTTTTTTCTAGGAATAGAAAAATGGCTATTAAAACACAATTCCCCAGGCAACAGTAATTGTTTCAGACATTATGATTCTGTATTGATAATCTCTATTAAAGTGTAAGTACACAAGACTATGACCCTACAAATGCTACTAATCCTACAAAATTTCATGCATTCATGCATGGATAAAAAAGTCAGGTTGTCATGGAAAAAAAGAAGGCATCTTCAACAAATGATGCTGGCATAACTGTATGTTGGCATACAGAAAAATTCAAATAGATCTATATCTATCACCCTGCACTAAACCCAAGTCAAAGTGGATCAAAGACTTCAAAATAAAGCCAGTTATCCTGAAACTGACAGAAGAGAAAGTGGGAAATAGCCTTGAATGCATTAACACAGGAGACAACTTCATGAATAGAGTATCAGTAACACAGACACTGAGATCAACAATTAATAAATGGGATTTAATGGAACTGAAAAGCTTATGTAATGCAAATGACCCACCCTGTGAATAAGATATAATGGCAGCCTACAGAGAGGGAAAAGTTCTTCACCAATCCCACATCTGACAGAGGACTGATATCCAAAATATATAAATAACTTAAGAAACTAGTTAAGTACATCAAAAAGTATAAGTAAAAAATGGAGTACAGCCCTCACCCAGAGAATTTTCAACAGAAGAATCTCAAATGGCAGAGAAACATGAAAAGAAATATTCCAATATCATTAGCCATCAGGGTAATGCAAGTCAAAATGGCTCTGAGATTTTATCTTACACATTTAGAATGGCTAAGATTAAAAACACAAATGACAGCTTATGTTGGAGAAAATGTGGAGTAAGGAGAGCACTCTTCCATTGCTGGTGGGAGTGCGAACTTATGCAACCACTTTGGAAATCTATTGATTGTTTCTATCTTTTGGTGGTTTCTCAGAAAGTTGGGAATCAATCTACTTCAAGACTCAGCTATACCATTCTTAGGCATATAATCAAAGGAAGCTCAATCATCCCACAAGGACACTGTTCAACTATGTTCAGAGAACCTTTATGAACACAGCCAGAGTCTGGAGATGTCCCTCAACCAAGGAATGGATAAATAAAATGTGATACAATACAGAATGGAGTATTACTCAGGACACCAAGGAACACCAGAAAATTTGAAAACAAATGGATGCAACTAGAAAATAAAAAATCATAGTGAGTGATGTAATCTAGACCAAGAAAGACAAATATGGTATATACTCAATTATTAATGGATATTAGCTGTAAAATAAAGATACAATTCACAGACTCAGAGACCAGGTAATAAGGTGGGTTCATGTGGGGGACATCCAGATCTCCTTGGGAAGGGGAAATAGAAGAGATTTCTTAAAAGGACTGAGGATGGATAAGGATAAGACCTTGAGGGATTTGGTTGGGGGATAGAAGGAAAGCAAGAGAACTGAGAGTGACTACTGGGAATTTTAGGGTGAGGTAAAACCCTAACACAAGGGAATCTTCCAAGAATCTACAAGGAAGACCCCAGCTTAGCATCAAGCAAAAGCAGACACAGAGCATGAATGGCCATTTCCTGTGATCTAATAGGCGCCTAGCCCAACTGTCATCAGAGAAGGAGGCTAGTCTAGCAACTGAAGGAAACTTAAGTAGACCCACAGTCAAATGCTAATCAAAGTTTGGGGAATTCTGAAGAAAACAAAAGATTTATGGCCAGGTGCGCATCTCTTACCAGGACTCATATTGATGTGACAGTCTGAGGAAAAATGCAAGCATCCCTTCTTCTGTGGGTTAGTAGGAGCGCTGTTGACTGCCATTGGAGGCAGTTAGGATTTCTATCTCACAAGGGACAGGAATGTGTTACTTGGCAGAAATGCTCAGGGCTTGCAAGGTTGGCTGAGCCCCTTGTCATAAAATCTCCTAAATATAATCCCACATCAGCAGACAACTAAGGCTAGTCTTCAGGTGTTAATGGCATCCTTCTTGCAGTCCTCTGCAGGAGGTTATGCATGCCTGGTTATCTGTAATTCAAAAGACTACAGTCCCTCCCACCCCCACCCTGGCAGCTCTCCAGAAATGAATGCTCTTCGAGGGTTGATAGTCAATTATGGGTCATGGCTTGTTCAGCAGACCAATCCAAGACCGTCACAGTCCAGTTGGTGAATTCTTTTGAGGCAGGGTCAACAACGCCTGAGCAAAGAACTCTGGTTTTCACTGAGTGCCTATGTAACAAATAAAATAGGATGGATATGTAGGATGTTAAGGCCTACAGTCTGAGAAGAGTCAACCTGGATTCTACCTGGTGCTACCAGAGGTTCTAATCGAGACTAGCCAATGAGGGGTGGCCATGTGATGGCAACAGATCAAAATGCCTGGGTACTGGGAGAGTATTTAAATTTTCCCCCATTGTTAAATAAATGAGTCTAAAACCTTCACTAGAAAAAAAAAAAGAATACAAAAGATTGAAGGAGCCAGTGGAGTCAAGGACACCAAAGGGAAACTCACACAATCAATTAACCTGTGCTCTAGAGGCTCACAGGGATTGAGCACACAGCAGGGGAGCTGCATAGTAGTGACCTAAACACTCTGCATATATGTTACAGTTGTTTAGCCTGGTCCTCTTGTGGTACTCCTAGCAGTGAGAACAGGGGCTATCTCTGACTCTTTTACTGACTCTTGGAATCCTACTCTTCATACTGAGGAGCCTGGCACATTCTTAATATATGGAGAGGTGCTTAGTCTTCCTGCAGATTGATGTGTCATGTTTACAGATACTCTTGGAAGACCTGCCAATCTCCAGAAACTATTTTCAGAAGTGTACAATGTCTGCTGCCAGTGGGTGGCTGAACAAAGCAGGCACAAGAGAGAAGACTATTTTGTGTTATTTTTTCATATTTCTTAAATTTTGAATATGAAGATAATGTAACTTTAAAAAATAATTTAAGGAATTACTTTTGAGTGTTATTCTTTCTGTACTCTTTCCATTGATGGCTTATAATATTTCTTTTGTTATTTCATTATTAACATAATTTCATCAATGCAGGTAAATGTGAAATTTCTAAATTTTTATCTAACATTAAAACAAATTTCCTAATTGTTCAGTGCTTACATGTTTAAATCCCCAATGCTTTGTGTCTTCTATTTATTTTATGCTAGGAAAAGCTGCATCTCATGTTCTTCCTATCCTGTGCTGAGAAAAAGTTTACGATTTACATAAGAAACTTTGTTTTCAAATTTAAAATATTTACCCATAGGATTTTAAATACCAGGTATATTTTGAGTATTTTACAAATTTAAAAATGCTGAAAATATTATATATGCATTCTGGTCCATGTATCAAACCAGGGTCTCCTGCATTCACAGCAAACAACCCAAGGACAGAGTTTATCCCCCAGCCCTGTCCTTTATCAATGATTACAGTATAATGCTCATATTAGTTAATCTGCCAAGAAACTTCTGTGTACAATGATGTCCACACACCTCCCCACATAACTAAAATAAAACTTAAATGGAACCATAAACTAAGTGTAAGATTTGTTAACAGTTATGATTATAAACCCATTATCTATGCAGTTTGCATATACATGTTGTACTCAGTGTCTATTAAAAAAAACAGGCTCATGGTACTTCGTATATTTTTCTTTTTAAAATCCATGAATGACAATATTAGTACTTGGGAAACTTAATAAAACACCAGCTTACTTGAAATTGAATTGCTATAACTTTTTGTGTTTATGGATCTCCCAATTTTAAAGTCAGAGATAATGTCAAGACAAACATGCTAAGGAGGTCATTAGCCAAGAAACTGCAAGGGCATATGAGAAGCAAGTGTGTATTGTTTCATTTGAAAGGTTATTTTGGATGGAAACAAATTAAGCTTATTTCACATTGCAGGTGATTAAAATTGTGAGAATATTCCATTACTAAGTCATCAACCATTTCAAATTTTCTACTCTTCCCTGCAGAACACTTACAGGTCTGGCAGTGTGTTTCTGTGGGTCCCCAGCATCGTCCAGTGCAGGACTTATGGCATCTTCCACCTGCAGAAAAGGAAAAAGAAGGAGAAAGACTGTGTTTACTATAGCTTTGCATCCTTGTACCTTCTTAATGAAATGCTCTTGTTTCTAACTGGGGATTTTAAGTCATGCTATAATTGAGACACATTCCTAAAATATGTTTACTTATTTACCAAAATCTGAATGTTCTTTGTAGGAATAATAGAAGCACAATGGCCTAATATGTGAAATTGTCCTACATTTCACATGAAAAGGGAGCAAGTCTATTTGTTAATATTTCTTCACACAGAAGCAAGTAGCTATATTCTTTCATTTTGACTATTGGAATTCATATTTCCTAGATCTGTGCTACTTAATATAGTTTCCAAAGCATACAGCTTAATGATAGCAACCGATATTAAGAATTAAGGGGTAATAACTCAAAGGAAGAATGTATTACAAGAATGTATTAGTCAATCACAGTATAAATCATCAGACTAAGAGGTAAATCAAGCACCAAAAAAAAAAAAAAGAAAGAAAGAAAGAAAAAAAAGAAAAGAAAAGAAACATTTAGGGAAGCTTAACGCCGGTTGTTTAAGACGTATGTCTAAAAATTTGTTGTTGTTATTTGAATGTTCAAATGGTATCCTTTAATTCCTAAGAAGAAAGTTTATATCTGTGGTATCTGTGGGTTTCTTCTCTATAGCGTATAGCTGTCCCACGGAGAAATTCCCAGGAGAACTTGGTACTAAGCCCATTAACTGGAGGAAACCGTGTGTGTGAACTATCCTTGAAACTTGTTTCTGAATTTCACTCAAAATTTCAGAGATCCGCTGACTTCTCTTTAGAATTGAGTGTACATGAAAAGCTATTAAAGACTAAAACCTATCTATAGAAAGTTTCTTATTAAGAACTTCTTTCATTTTCTACCTCTTATAAATTCAGCATGCTTAACCAAGATAACTACATTGTGAAGATATTAAATCTTCACACCAAATGTTACTGCCTTCCCTTGAGTCAGTTTTTAAATACTTAACTGAGAACTCTTGATACTTAGAAGCTCTCTCGCTAATGAAAGTGCCTGAGAGAACCTGCGAAGACCGACACGCTCACGGATAAACGCGACTGGACTGATGGCAGTTCTGACTGAACTTTAGACTACCTGAGAGTCTCTCTTTAGGAGTGAAGAAAACCATGCCCAAACTCAGTGATGTTTAGACTCCCAAATCCAGTTATCTTTGGAAAAGTATGGGGATCATTTTGGAACACAGTTTATTTAAAGCCAGCATTGGTGGGGCACTGCTACTGATACCAGGAGCATACACGATCCTACCACTCTGCCATCTGCCTGTTTGGATCTAAACATATTATAACCACACAATACAAGCTCATTCTAGCTAACAGGAAAAGAACTCCATCTGGACCAAACAATGCAATTTTAATCAGTGATAATTATAATTATTATTAAAACCTTATGGGAGCTCTTTTGTATCAAATTAATAAATCTAAATAAATGTCATTTAGACCAGCGGAAATTAGAAAGGACTGTGAGTCGGAATGAGAAGCTGTGAAAACTTTCTTGAGGATAAAACTTTTTATGTGAAACTAGATAAAGTGTTTTTGTGGATTCACAAAAATCTTTTATATCAATTGTTTAAGTGGTCAGTTAATTGAGGTATCTAGAGTAGACATTTATCTTACATTTAATATATGACTTATTTTATTGTTTAGGAATAATAAAATACTTAACTTTATTCTTCATAGCCTGAATGCAACTTATTTAAATTATAAAAATCAAAGAATAATAGAAAAAAGACAGTCAATCATAATCAGTATCCATAGTAACCATTTTGATATTCTATTCCCTTTTGGTTGAATTGAAAATTATGTTTTAAAGCTTCGGTTACTACCCTAAGATTATTCCCAAGTTCACTGTATTACACATATAAACATGGGCATTGCTTATTCACATCATATGTTCAAAATACATTTAAATTCTAAAAGTGAAATTTGAAGTGAAAACTGATTTTCATCTTCTAAACATGCAATCTGGACAAGGTCCAACTACTAGGTAACATGTTATATAGTATACACACAAACAATTAAATGATTTAATCTTGGCTGCATCCCTGTCATTGTGAAATGTCTGTGAAATTTCATTTGATCATCTTCATTTTTTTCTTTTTTTGTTTTTATTTTATTTTATTTTATTGAGACAATGTTGCTCTGTGTTACAGTCCTTGCTGTCCTGGAACTAGCTCTTGCAGACAAGGTTAACCTTGAAATACAGAGATCCACCTGCCTCAGTCTCCTGAGTACTGGGATTAAAGGCATGGGTCACCACCACCACCTGGAAGTCATTTTTTTTTTTTACCTTGTGAACACACTAACAAACAAAAAAAGAAACTAAGAGCGATAAATGCACACACACATTTTTCGTTACATATGCTTGCTGCGGGAGCTCCTTCCGTTCCTTCAGCCAATTGCCGCTGAGATACCAGCCCATTGGGGCGTGGTCTCTCTCTGTCTTTAAAAAAGCAGCGGCTGTCCTCCACTCTCTCTCTGGCTTTCGGCTCTGCTTCCAGCTCCTAGACTCCTTTCCTGTTCGCGCAGAGGGGCTGTTGTCTGGGACGGTAATCTGTAAGTTTTTTTCCCCTTTGAATAAATAACCATTCTATTAATCATAATTTCAAACTGGTGTGGGATTGTTTGTGACTCACGCCTTCATATGCTTTTATTATACTTCCTAATAATTCCATCATGAATAGAGGCAAGATCATTTCAAAATAGGCTTTCTCAAACATGTGTTTATTTTTATTTGTATTTCTTCCTTTTACTGAAAGTAGATTTTTTCCCCTCATATAATACATCCTGATTATGGTATCCTTTCCCTCTACCATTCCCAGCTCCTCCCCATCTCTCATTCCTACTAGGTCCATCTGCTATCTGTCTTCTATTATAAAACAAACAGACTTCTAAGAGATAATAATAAAATATAACAGACCATAATAAAACACAAAACAAATAAAACTAACAGATCGAAATGGAACAAAACAAACACAAAGCAGGAAAACAGCCCAAGAGAAGACACAAGAAACGATGTAGATGAAAAGACCCATTTGTTCTCATTCTGGAATCCCTTAAAAATATTAAATTGGAGCCAGTTATATATTATATTTTTATATTATGTTATATATACATGCACACACAAAGGATCTGTAAGTTAAAAACAGAGAAAATATAAATAAATTAAAATTAATGTTAAAAATAAGATTTAAAAAAGGAAAAGCCCTGACACCTCATTCTAAAACAAGAAACCTCCAGAGATGTCAGTGACTACACTTTCTGCTGGCCATCTACGCTGGGGACTCTACTTACCCTAGAGTAGTTTGTTTTCCCAGTGAGACTTCCTTGTAAGAAACTAAATTTTCATTTGTGAGTGGTTTATCATGGAGTTTGCCCTGGGTTACGGATGGGGGAATATGCTCACTTCTTTCAGCGCTCGGACCCCATCTGGTGCAGACCTGTGCATTTCCCATGCATGCTGCCCCAAGTCTCTGGGAATTCATATCTGTGTTGATCCTATTGATTTACAGGACCTTGCTTGGTGTCCTCCATACCCCTCCAGGGCTTACACTCTTTCTGCCTCCTCTTTGTGGGCTTGGCTTTCCTGAACTCTGAGGGGAGGGATTTGATCAAGACATCTCTTCTTAGACTGTATGTCTCTGTATTTGTTTCCATATGCTGCAGGAGTAAGATTCTCCACTGGTGGCAGAACAAGGCACTGATATATGTTTATTGTAGATTGTCATTATTCTTCTAGAGTTGTACATGACAATATATCATTCTTTCATACACACACACACACACACATTCACACACATACAGCCACCCCTCAATCCCCCACACACAGAGAAATCTGATGTTTTTAGTGAAAGCAGATACTTAATACCTTCTGTAATTTCAGTCAACCAAACACATGACATACAAATCAAAACAAATGCTTCTATTTATTCACTATGTACTGATGTCTTACAGTGAGTGCTGGCTATCCCACACCAACATTGTTTTAATTCACACACAATCCTTCTGCGTTGACAATGCATGATTTATCATGAAAGTTAGCAAATGTAACTAAAGGCTTTCATCTTTTATGTTGGTCCAGAATATGTTACTAAAAATGTACCTTTCATATGTTCTTTTAAGGAACTAGAGTTCTTGAACAGCTTTTAAATTTTAAGAGTCATAAATTCATGCTACAAGTTTTGCCTGTTGTGCAAATGCCTGGCAGGAGAGACAGAATTCAATATCTACCCCATAATGTTCTCTGCCAGTAATATGGCTAGATAGTTGAAGAGTCACAAAATATGAAGCCACTGGCAGTCATAAAGGATTACATCCTCAAACTGTCTCAAACTGAAGGCAATACAGGCACATCTTTGGAGTTTCCTCCAGTCCTTTAGAAAACTGGAAGTCTTGACCTTGTAAAAAGACATTTACTGAGGAAAAAAAATGTGAGAGAAAACTGTATAATTCAAAGTATGGGAAAAGACCATTAATTGAAAGTCTGTGTTGAACCGGTCTCTATTATTAATGTGGGTAAGGAGAAGTAAGTCAATTACTTGCCTTCTAGGATATTTCAACATCTATGAACCTAGCAGAGAAATAGGCACATAGCATCAGTATTTGTTATCAGTAGGATATATATGATAGGGGGGATTTGAGAACACTGAGAGAATGGGCTTTTTTAGTTAGATTTGAATGCCTAATTTGTTCAGTGCAGAAGGGAAAGGAAGGGAATGTTTGTACTCAAGAATTGACCTAAATCATTACTCAGAGTCCTTGATGAACCCATCTTTCTGGGACCATGATGTAAGGAATACCGAGATGAATTTCCATGAAGGACAGAGCTATGGTGTGAGTTTGCATTATGTCCATAGCTGCCTTCTAATTACCTGTACTTGACTTAGCCTGGGTCTTACAGATTTGGCTCAAGTCTTGGAGACATTGAAGTGATATAGTTTTCATGTGCGAATGATAAATGT